GGGGGGGGGGGGGGGGGGGGATCGAAGCGCCTGGATTAGTCACATGAGGGTGGTAAGGAATGTAAGGTTGCTGGGAGAGATTCCCAAACCCGAGCCTATAAACCCAAAAGGCCTTAAACCCGATTGGGGCTTCGGGTTCAAGGAGCTGCGAGCTTCTCTTATGGATTCGGAGCCTTGATCTGAGAGATCTCATCGGGGCTTCAGCGCGAATTCGCTGCTTTAGGGTTTAGGGGTTTCGGGTCCCCGACATCCCGACAATACAGCAGGCAGTGACCCGGGTTGATGGCAGAATGCAGCCGACAATCAGGGTAGGTGGTGTGAGCCACAGTGAGGATAAGGCCTTCATAGTGTCGAAGAAGGTTCCGGTGTATCTTAGAATACTGAATATGCTTATACACTATTATTCGGGCTCCGGAGCATGATTTCCTTATTTCTGATATCCCTATGCATGACCCAAGAGAGATTGGTTCGTCAGGTCAAGGTAAGGTGTGGAGAAGGTTAACCTTCAGGTTCGAAGTTCGGGAGTCCAACTGTGATTCTCAGGTTTAGGATTTAGGTTAGGGTTTAGNNTTTAGGATTTAGGTTTGTAGGGTTTAGGATTTAGGCTTGTAGGGTTTAGGAGGCCTAAGGGTGTTATAAGGATTTGATTCTTAAGTCTAGCCCCGAGAACCTGGTTTCGGGCTTCAGGGTTTAAGATTGTTTTGAGGGGTTTGTAAGGGCTACGGTAGGTTTTACTGAATTGCTTTGGACCATTTTTATGGGAGGGTTCAGAATAAACGGGGTGTCTAAAAATTCTTCCACTGGGTTGGTTACGGCCCACATTGACAAACAACTCTGCAGCCAGCTCTGCCTTCCTTCCTCGAGGATGAACGGATACTTGGCCATACTTTTGAAGGTCATTTCGTTGCATGGGAATCCCCAAAGACAGAACTTCCGTGGAAGCAGAGGCCCAGGTCTACTTGTCGCCTCATGTACCATGAGGGCTTCATGGTGTAGGGACTAAAGTTGACTAAAGTGGACTAAAGGACTCCACCCAACAACACCTATTCTTGCCGGCAGCCCTTCAATTAAACTGACCTGTTGTTCTTACTACTCCTTCGAGCACTCCTCCGTTCCCCCTTGGTGGTGGCGCAAAACTACAGACATACAGTGCTCTCAACATTTCGGACTGTTCTAGCTCCTTTTATTTGCAAGGCCCACCAGCCCGCAGAAGGAACCCTTGCCACACTTCATGCTCAAGGCATTGCAGACCGTAAGCCCTCCGAAGCTTCAGCCCTCCACCATGCAGCCGGCTCGCACCCAGATCCAACATCCCTCATACTAGGAACCATGAAACATAGAGACGCCATATAGCACCATTACCTTCCTTAAGCAGCCCCACCAGAGCTGGCACTGTTTCCTTTGCCCGGCTCCGGCACCTCTTGATCCGCGTCGTGAAACTCAAAATGCTCTTCAGGGAGGGCTTTTCCACTGCATTGGGGGGCAATCTTTTTGGGTTCGAAAGCGCTTCTACAGGATATCGTAAAGGTCCACACAGGTCTTAGCTTGGTTGGGCCTACAGGCTCCAAACATAGGTCCCTTTTTGGTACCTGCTCTCGTCATTGTCCCAGAGTTCCAACATATTCCGAAGCTCATGGCCGCTTGGGGCTTTCAGGGTTTAGGCTTGGCTTTGGCTGTTCGGTTGGGGCTTACAAGGCCTAAGCCCTAAGTTTGGTGTGTATGGGGTTTCGGGTGTGGGCTGCGTAAGTCGCAGAGCTCCCATGGGAAATCAACTCTTGTTTTGAGGGATGGGGGGTCAGAATACGGTTTGGGGTTTAGGCTTTAGGGACTTTAGGGATCCTGCAGAATCTGTACGTGCCCCTTGTGGTGCACCTGAACGATAAGATGCTTTGCTGTCAGACCCCGGCGCGGGTTTTCAGAGTCCCGGAATTAACTTTTGCATAGACTTCTTGGCGGGGTGATGTCCAACCCGGCGATACCTCCCTGGGCAATTCCCGTAGAGCGGCCGTTCAGAAACAGGTACGAGATGCTACAGCGCCTGCTTCTGAACAAGAAGCGGGGCCAAAGAACCGCCAAAGCTCCAATTGCTCCGACAAAGGTATCCTCAAGTGAGGGGTATGAGCCGGTATGAGCGTCATTACCTGTTGTTATGGTCGTTTGTAGTGTCTTGCTGCTCTATGTAACTATTGTTGCTAATACAAGCATTAGTACTACTATTTTGCTGATACTTGTTTCCTAACATGCACTGCTGCTGGGTCCTTGTCTCTGCAGACAGGACAGACCCAAAAACCCGATTTCGAGTTCAGACTTTGAATTGGCGATGCCAGGACGCTTAAAGGGCTTCAGATCCAGATGAGTGCGATCTCGCCTCCCTGTCTGCCCTCATGTCCCAGAAACAAAAGCTTTCCGAGATTCTTTACATAGATTCCTCGCTACAGGACCCTTGTAGAAAGGGGTATCCAGCGAAACTTAGGAAAATCTCCGGCTGCATTCAGCCAAAGACAGGATGCTCATCAGGTTTCTCACTGCGAGCTTATCGCTGTCTTGCTCGCATCCCTGGCCCCCGACCCACCGCAGGCACGCCGTCTCGGGCTGGCTTGTCAGAATCAAGACAATTATGCCGTAGAGCAGGCACAGGGCCGGGATGACCTGGGAGGTTGGCTGGAAATCTGTAGCGAACGCTGTCAGATTTAAGATTTCATTCGACTAATTATAGCAACATACAAAAGCTCCTGGGAACAAAAAGGTCCAGTGACCAGAACCAGGGTGGCCATGAAGGAGTTGGTTTTCCACTCGTTCTTCCGCCTGTGCGCCTCGGCTTTCTGCCATGGAATCATCGGAAGCAGGCCCAAGGCGAAGAAGGAGGTGGCGTAGGTCAACACATAAGACCAGGCCACGGTGGACCGGAATTCCGGGGTATCTAAGACGTAGTTCTCAAGGCTGGAGAGCTTTGGGGTGAAGAGACCATAGACTTGATTGCTGACGACCGTGGCAAAAGGTAAGGCTGACTGCTGTAGAGTACCAATCAAGCCAAAGCAGAGACCTTCGCGCCCCGCCTCGGCTAGCTCGATGATCATCAGGTTCGAAACTAACTGCAACATTGCATTCGGAATGGAGCTGACGATATCGTCGCCAAGGTAGAAGTATTGGTTCCGCACCACACCAAAGGTGGTGAGGAACTGCGGGATCGCGTCGACCACGTTCACGGCCACGATGGCCAGGAATATGACTTTTCTCCAGCTGACCTGAAGAAAGAACAGCTTGTAGATCCATGTGGCTGCAATCATGACGCCTAGGCCGGCTACGCCAAACATCTGCTGCTGCAGAACTTTCACATGTGCCCATTGGCTCCGGACCATGGGCCCTGCCGTGGTCGTCATGGAGACCAGGAACTGGACAAAAAAGCCAAAGAAGAGAAGGCTGGAGAGAGCTGTGTTCTGGACGAGATCCCAGGAGGCCTTCGCGTGAGAGCGGCAGGAAGCCGTATTCCCAGATTTCGGGGGCTCCCAGACACAGAGTACTGTTACAGGGATAATGAGGATGACAAGGAGCAAGCAAACGGTCATCAAGCCACTGAAGGACAAGCCCCAGTCGAAGGAGCCCAAGTAAGCCTTGCTGTTCATGAAGATGCCAATGACAAATGCAGCAGTCAAAGCCCCTGCTGTGCAGACCATCGTCATTTCGGTCTTGATCCGCCCACGTTGATCTGAAGGCTCTCGCTGAGAGTACTCTAGTAGAAGAGCTTGCCCCGCCACGCTCCCAAGCTGGACACCAGCTGTCAGGAGAAAGAGCGGGAAGATGTACCAAGTCTTCTGCTTGTGTATCTCGGGGTTGCAAGGGGGTGCGTACCAATTGTAGTCCCCGTTCTCATCTTGGCAGTAGAAAGGGGCCGGCTGAGGCTTCAAGCTCAGTGAAAGGAGTGCCATGGCCGAGATGGCCCAAGCCACCAAGAGCCAAGGCTTTCTGTTTTGCCCACGGATAGGGAAGCAGTCTGTCATCATGCCATAGGGGAGTGGCAAAACATCCGGAAGCTTCATGAGAGCCGTGATGGATGACATGACGTAGGAATCCAAGCCCATATATCCAAGGAACAGTCCATAGGCAACTCCGGTACATGTGGCACTGAGGAAGGAAAGAAGGAAGCCGTTGAACACGATGCCGATGGTCTGCCGCGTCCAGATGCTGATCGCTTCCCCCTCAAAGTCCGCCCTCAAAGGAATCTCAGCTTCGAGCTTCATGGGACTAAGCTCCGTTCCTGCTTGTGACACGGCTCCACCTGGGAGCTCTGAGTTGAGTAGGCCAGCGGTAGATATCGTGGTGCCGCGAGAAAGGCCTTGGCTCTTGGATATGCTTTGGGCTAGCACAAGTTACGGCGCCACAACAGCCTACTGATAACGTTTTTTTTCGTTACCACCGTAACTATAATGATAACGTTATAACTTATAACAGAACACTATGAACGTAGGGCTTCACTAGGGGTTCCATCAAGTATTTTGTTGCAACAACTTGTGGCGTCTCTTCTTTTAAAGAGGGCTTCGGCAATTGTTGCTAGGGATGAAAGGTAAAGTATTTGCCGGGCTCGCGCTGCCCTCTTCCTTCATAAACCCTCCAAGCCCTGGCTTTCTTGACTAACAGCCTGAACAATGGGAGCTAGGATTAGGGGGA